CGCGAGTGCGGACCGCGGTTGAGTCTGGCGGTGTCTTGGCTCCGTCGCTGTTAACCCTGTAGGGACGCACGGCCGCGTCCTTCTAAAGAGGGCGCCCCTCGAGAGGCGGCCTGCGCTGCGCCCAGAGAAGGGAAAGCGAAAACTCAGAGGGAAATCAGAAGCGGGGTGGGGGACAGGGCGTGGAAGGAGATGACCGGCCCAAGGCGGGGGCGGGCCGTCTTTATCATCCCAGAAGGGTTCCTGGTAGCCTCCTGCACCAGGGGGCCCCTGAGGGCCTGATCCCGGCGGGCCCTCAGGATGTTAGCAGTGCCTGCCCGGCTGAAGGTAGGAAGCCAACACCCCGAGTCGGGGACGAACAGACTTACCTCCCGGCCGGCAAACGATCCACTAGATCGCTGGTTCCAAGATCCGAGAGGCCGCAAACGGATCCCAAGACCGCCGACAGTATTTTCTCAGACCTGGCGTTCAGAAAGATTCTGGAGATCACTGGCAGATCCCGGAGGTCTCAGACTCACAGGTAGATCTCGAATCCGAAGACTCGCAAGCGAAGCCCAGAGATAGTAGGCAATCCTAAAGACTCACAGATTCCCGAGGCCTCAGACTCAGAGGCAGCCCAGAGAAACCACAGGCTTATAGGCAGATCCCCGACACCACAGCAGCTGGCCCAGAAACCACCAGCAAGTAAGCTGCATTCAGCCGGAGTTCGCAGAGCGGAAGGACTTGCAGCCTTCCCTTTCCCCGGCCAGGATGAGGGAACTAGACAATGGAAGTCGAGCACTAGGGAAGGCAGGCATTCTGCGTGGGGAAGAGCTCCGAGCTCGCTGTAGCCTTGGAGAGGGAAGTGATGGAAAAAGAATATAGCAGCTTATTAGGGACTCCCACCCTCTTCAAGTTATAAATATCCCCAGAACCTTGGCTACGTGCCCGGAAGCCTGTTGTCTCTAACTGTACAGCAGACTTCTCTGCCTGGGCTGGGAAAGGGGCTTTTCTTTTGTTTTGCAGATACATCCACCCGCTGAGGGACTTGAATTTTTTTTTTTTTCAAACATGACTCTAGGCCATGCTATTATTAGTGAGTGTCCTGTTCCCAGTGCCTAGTTATTTATGGTTAAATCACTCAAGGGTCTAAAAAGAACTAGTAGGACCCTACCCAACCATAATGTAGACTCTCCCACTCTTCTTCCCATCTCCAACTGTGGGGCTAGGAATTCTTCAGATGCTGCAGAATTGTACCTTCTTACCCCATCTAAAATTGATCTGGGCACCACATAAAATAGAATCCTGGAGGAGTTCCAAGAAGCAGTATCCCTGGTGGAAAGAGTGTAGGCATCAAGGTCAGACAGACCTGGGTTGGAATCCAGGCTGTGTATCCTTTGGAACATCATTGAATCTCTTCAGACCTATTTCCTTTTCTGTAAAATGGGGGTCGTAATACCTAAGGATGTCATGAGGACTAAGTGAGATGACTTACAGCACTCCACAGAGTGAGCACTCAGATGATAGCTATTAGTATCAGTAATCCTGGCTTTGGTGGTAGGGGAGACTTCCAGAAAGGGTATATTCAATGGCTCAGAAAATCTGGGAAATCAGAGTGACTCAATAGCTGTGAAGATCGTTGGGTGACCTTATCCTCACATTGTGTTTCTGCTAGAAATTCAGACAGAACCGGAAGCTGAGCCAGTTTGGTGGGTTCAAGCAAATGGTGCATTGAGCCTAGTGGAGCAGAGGTACACTTGGGGCTGCCAAAACCCAGCAAGTTGAGACCTCACAGTCAGGGAAACCTCTGGGTCAGAGGTTAATAGCCAAATTCCGTGGAGCAAGGAGGAAGGGGATCCTTTCAGACTTTGGCTGAGTAATTGTAGGTTTCTAACTGGGCCTAAGGTGAGCTGAGGGCTTGAGCCTCTCAGCCTAGCGGGGCTCCCTTTTCATCTCTTCTCTGACAGATTGCTTTGTAAACTTTCTGAGGCCTTCCCCCCATCCCCCTTGCTCCAGTGCTTTAAGCCCTTCTTTGTCCCCTTTTATTCCTCTGGCCTGCCTGGGGGCTGAACGACCTCAGCTTGGCTGCATGCCTCCTTCTGTGAGTAAGTACTTTTTTTCTTTCTTCACCTGGGACCCTCCAGAGGGTGGAGGAGATGAGAGATTGAGAGCGAATGGAAAGCATGACTACGTTTGGAGTCCCAAGGGGGGAGTGGGAAAGAGGAGGAGGAAAGACAGTGGCTGAGGGGCTTCCTGTTGCAGCCTCAGCTGGACTCTGAGGGTTGGGGTCACTGGAGGAGGAGGGACTTCCTGCTTCATTGTTCAGGACTTCAGTGTTTCTCAGGAATACTTACTGTATGTGAGTTGTCAATAACCAACTTGGAAAGCTGTATTTGTTCCTGTCATTCAGCAAACAGTGAATACCTACTGTGTGTAGAAGCAGCAGTACGTACAGCCTATCACCAGGGAAAGGGGCCAGGAGAACCATTTGCCAGGGTCTCCAATTTAGGCTTTTGACATGATCTCTAAATGAAGTTATACATTATGTCACATCCACTGGCTGATTTGATCAAAGACCCTTCCTGTTTACCCTTATCCTTGTATTACCAAATCACTGTGCCTGTGAAACACTATACATTATTATATTTTAATAAATCTTATAATTATCTTACATGCATGATTATGTTGTAATTTTTTGGCATCAGAAACATTAATTTGTTAAATATTTTTTTAAATGCCTTGCTGATGTGGTGGCTCACGCCTGTAATCCCAACACTTTGGGAGACCAAGGCGGGAGGATTGCTTGAGCCCAGGAGTTCAAGACTGGACAACATAGTGAGACCTCGTCTCTACAAAAAAATTAAAAAATTAGCTGGGCATGGTGGTGTGCACCTCTTACTGCTTGGGAGATTAAGGTGAAAGGATCACCTGAGCCCAGGAGGCCGAGGAGGTGGTGAGCCGTGATTGTGCCACCGCATTCCAGCCTGGGCAACAGAGCGAGACCCTGACTCAAAAGAAAAAGTATGCCTTCATGTTTGTCATCCTGTCATCTCTTCTTTTTCAAATAGACAGGGCACCTCAAAAAATCAAGTGACCCTTGCTATGAGGGGTGATAAAGGTTTATCACCACACAAGGAGTTGGGGACATGGGGGACACACTGGTTTGCAAACAGTCACTGCAGTCCAAATGTTTTAATAAGGGGTGAGTTACTCTGAATCCAGGAGAGGGCAGACTCCTAGCTTGGGGGTGGGGGAGGAGGGGAGGAGACTTCACCAAGGAGGTGACATCTGAGCTGACTTGTAAAGACTGTAGGAGTTTTGGAGGTGGAGAAGGTGGGAGGGAAAACATTCCAGTCTTCAAGAACAGCATGTGCGAAGGCATGAGGCGTGAAAGACCAGAGTGTGTCCCAGAACGACCAGGATTGGTTATGGGTATAGGGAAGCGTGTGGGGGTGGAGCAGCAGGGGGAGGAAGCAGAAAGCAGAGCAGGGACAGTCTCTTATGTCCCCCTGCCTGCCTGCCTGCTTGTTTGTTTCTGCCTTGGCTGTGGATGCAAAGCTGGTGATGAGGTGCAGATGGGAGATGGCCTAGGGGCTGGCCTGGGGTGAGAAGAGCAGATTGACACTGCAGGAGAAGGGGGAAGTGAAGAGGACTGGGAAGTCCTCTATGACCTCATGCATTTCAGTTGGTTTTCTCCAGAGAGATTCGGTATTTTCCAAAAATGTAGACAACTGCATTAAAAATGTACAATACACTTATTTAGTACCGTTTAGCTTACTTAAAGACATCAAATAGACCCCTGTTCACTGAACTCTATTCTGTACCAGCTCCTGAGCTGGGAAACAGAACACCACCCCTCACAATGACTGCAGGGCTGCTGTGAGGATTAAATGTGAGAATGGCACAGAGCAGGGCCTTGGCACAGGTGGCCATCATTACGGAGGGTGGAGGGGAGGAGGCAGAAAAAAGCGTGTCACAGATGCTCTGTGGGGTGAAGCCATATTCCAGAGTGGCTCAGAGCATGACCAGGAGCCTGGGTTCAAATCTAGGTCCTGTCTCCTAGAAACAAATTACTCTTGAAACCTTGGTTTTCTCAACCTTTAAAGACTGTAATAATACAGATTTATAGAGGCAGAAAGTAGAATAGTGGTTGCCAGGGCTTGGGCAGGGGGCAATTGGGAAATGAGGAGTTGTTTAATTAGTATAAAGGTTCAGTTTGAAAGATAAAGAATTCTGGAGATTGGTTGCTCAACAGCATGAATGTACTTAACCCAACTGAACTGTACGCTTCAAATGATTAAGATGGTTTACGTTATGTATATTTTACTACAGTTTTTTTAAAAAAGAGTATCATAATAGTAACTTTGTTCACAGGGTCAGAGGGTTAGTTGAGACAATCCGTGTAAAGTGCTCTCCTGCACTCATAGTAATAACAAGAGCTAAC